AATAAGCCTACTAAATCATACAAATGAGGCTGTGAAATAAATAAGTAATATCTATTATTGGTGCTAAAAAGCCCCAGGCAATTTGTTCAAGGTCACCCAAGTAATCAGTACGCATACATATTAACACATTAGAGGGAAAAAAACAAGGAACCCCCCCCACCCACGACCACCACCATAATTTTCCTTTCCTCCACAGGATACAAATGTTCTGGGATACATGGCCCAGCAGGAAACAAATTACATGGCATGCCCCTCTTCAATCCCACCACCCACATTTTTATACAGGTAAAACCTGAAGGAGGGCAAAGGGTCTGTCCAAACGGGGTGTCTCTAGCTCGTCACACCTTCCTGACTAAAAAATAAGGGGCTGAGAAATGAGAGAATGAATGGAACGATTTCCCCAAGTGAAGAAAAGGTATGGAGAGCTTAAACTTCCCTCTGACGGACCAGGTGAGCTGCCCACTCCTCCATCCACTGTGTGTGCACCTAGCAAGAGCTCACACAGGACGGGGGCACGGGGGCTCAGAAGTCCCCCTGCTCCCCTACGAGGACACTCAGATGGCATCAGAGTCCAGACCACTCAGAGGCGCCAAGGTCTGGGGAAATTCAGGGGCTGAGTGCAGAGGAGGAAATACCGAAGGGACTAGAACTAAGGCTAAAGTCTCCTACAGTTTAGTGATCTGCAAGATGCGAACTTGAAGAGAACTGAAATTATACTTCGAGAGTGTGAAGAGAGAACTCCGAAGGAAAGTCAAAGTCCTAAAACACAAGTCAAGAGACAATGCAGGTGATTATGCAGGCAGCAGAGACTACAAGCTTCAATAATAACGACATAAATACTTCAGGCTTACAAGACAGCAAACTAAAATTTTGTAAAGAGCAACCACATGACCAAAACACTCAAACAAAGCTTTAAACCTTGGACTTGGAGGGTCATGAGACTTTTTTTGGGCTAAAACCAGGAATGCTTTAGGGAAAAAAATAGAACTCCAGACCTCTAGGTGGCTCCCACTTTTAACCAACTCCTCTGTCTCACCTACGGTGAAATGCTGTCTTGGTTCCACTAGTCACATCAGCGGCTGGATGGTAGGACCATCCTTAGAACCCTAACTCTCATTCCTCTACTAGTTTTCCCACCTTCCTCTGAAGCTTGGTCCTAAGCAGTCAACAGGAGCTGACTACTGTTATCACGTGATACAGCAAAATGCATCACATAGTAATACTTCTTCCTTCTAGTAATCCTGTGCTGATGGAATGAGGCATAATTATTTTAATGGAAAAAAAGGATTATCTACAACCAAAAATCACAAGGGAAACATTAATTACAAGGTGTCTCAATGTATTACTATGAATCTTCCACAAAGCCTACATAATTTGTCCCGGTAACTGTAAAAGTGGTTTCAGATTACACACATCTCTAACAAAGAAGGAACACAGGAACGTGCCAGTATGGCCTTCTTGTCATGAAAAGCAAATTTAGGGAACCAGCAGTTAGCATAATGGCTATGTCGCTGGACTCCCACGTAGTCGACTGCGGTTCGTGTCCCGGACCCGGTGGCTTAAAACTCACGCCGGGCGCGTGTGCGTGCGTGCCCAAGATCCTGAGAGGAGAGTGGAGGAGAAGGGATTGCGGCGTGACCATCCCCCCTGGGGGGTGATTTCTCGCTTTCTGTCTCTATGTCTCTCTCTGTCTGTCTGGCGAGCACATGCGCCCTACAGTGAAAAATCTCTCCAAAAAAAAAAAAAAAAGCAAATTTAACAACAATAATAAAAAGATACTCGAGATACAAATACAGAACTGATATTGCTATCTAAATTACATCAACAAATATTTATTGAGCACCAGACACTTGTGAATAAACCAGGCATGCTTATCAACCTCTTGGTAACCTTAAGGCAAGAGAAAGACATTAAACAATTTAGTAACATATAAGTTATGGTAAACATTAAGAAGGAAGAGACAATTATGCTACAAAGAGAAAATAAAGGGGCTCTTAATTTATGTGATAATAAGGGTGATTTTCTATAAGGAAGGTTGTTTGAGTTAGTGACCAAGGAGAAGTTACACAAAGAAAAGGTCCTCAAGTAGAGACCGACAGCCTGAGCAAGAGCGCTGCAGGGATTCAGCTGGAGGCCTGACCACAGATGCTGGCCAGAGGTGCGGGAGACAGGCAGGGGCCAAACCATGCAGGCCCTGGAAGGCATGTTGAAAATCCCAAGAATAAACCTCTTCGTTGAGAACCTGAAGACTTTAAAAATGCCAAGTGACTCCCCTCACCCCAACCCCAGCTGCTAGTGGGTAGAGAGACTGGGAGGGAGTGGAATGTGTGTAAGTCACAGCCCCCGGGAAAGCGAACCGTGGCTTCAACTAGGACGGTAGCATGGTGAAGAATGAAAATCGGTCAGGGGTGAGATACCTTGTAGGAAAAATGAACATGATTTTTGTGATGAACTGGTTTGGTGGGGCTGATAGGACAGAAAAGAGAGTAGAATGAGCTACTCCTTGGAGAGATGTGATAAAAAAAAATAGAGGCAGGACCATCTGAAAAGTTTGGGTGATTAAGAGCCAGGTTTTGGAGAAGTCTGAGATGCTGCCACTTTTGTGCTAGACGCTACTTTAGGTGTTTTACTCATCACAGAATCTCTTTCAGTAGTAGTATCTCCATTTTACAGAGAACAAACTGTGGATCAGAGGTCAAAGGAGCATGACCAACCTCACTCATCTTGGAAGTGACAAAGTTACACTTGCCACCCAAGACTGGCTGGCTATGGGGTAACATTCTTTCCAGTATGTAAAGTACTTGGAAACTATCTCTGTGCTTTAAGTGCTGGAATCTATCTAGGTTTGGAGCAAAGTAGCAGGCAAGGAAAGTAAACACATGATATTATTTTTTATATCCAAATCCTCAGATTTTTATGATGCATAATGTTTTCCTGTCCAACATCTATCCCCATTCCTCCTCAACCTGCAGAGTTTTGTGACATTGTGAATATTAGCAATACATTTAATATCCTAATGTTTTACAATAATAAGGCAAATCCATTATGACAAGAAATAACCGTAATGAAAAGAGCAACAATATCCGGCAGCAAATAGTATTTTTACTTCCAAGTCATTATAAACATCAATATAAGTAGAGTAATAAGAAAGAAACCCTGAAGAACTATCCATTTCTCAAAATGCAAGGCACTCAAGTTAAAAAATGATGCAAGTCCCCAAATACTGAAAGCTACAAAAGCCAAGCACTGGGATTCCAATTAGAAAGCTGAAATCTTAAAAAAAAAAAAAAAAAAAAAAAAGACAAAGGCAAAAAGAAATGATACTTTACCACATAGAATATTACATCTTCAATTCCTATGTCTCTCAACTAAATGCTGAATTTAGTAAACATTCTGCTTCTCCCTGCAGTACACTGATAACTTCTGCAAACTTAAATGCCTTCTCTATCTGCACTGTCCCATGATACGCTCCTTCATGGGCTCTTTAATGTCCCCCTGAGCTACTGAAGTCCACAAATGAGGCTTGAGCAATGAACCTAGAAAGAATTCAATGCATTACTGCCAACTGTGCCTATAATGGAAAAGAAACCACCTTGAGACTCTTACAACGAGGGGAAAATGAGGAAGGGGGAGATTTCTGAGAGGTTTTATCATGCATGTTCCAATCATATTTTGTTGTGTCTGATCTTGCACTAGAATCATCATCAAATTATATTCTATCTTTTTAAAAGTGAAGTATGGCCATGTACAATTGTGATGGCGCGGGAAGAATTTGTTCCCTTTGCAGATAAACAAAACTAAAAGCACCATTAATATGCCCTCTAAAACTAAAACACAGAAATCACTTCAGAAAGCAGTGCTGTGAGGGGCATCCTGAGTCTTCTGTCCACCACTCTCTCTTTCTGCAGAGAGCTGGCTAACAGCCACTGCTGCCTCACCCAGGCAAAGGAAGGAGGTTGAAAACCCATTTAAAAAGCGTCCCAAGCGTCCCCTCTTCTGTCCCTTCATGACATGATTACAACTCCTGGCAACCCTAAGATGAAAGGCAGAAAAACAAAAAGAGAAAAATGACCTCCCTCCCCACTCCACTAGAAGGAGTGGTTAATCCGATGTAGAGAAGGGCAGAGATCTATACATGTTTAAAAGATGTTTCCTGGGGACAAAATAGATCTAATAAAGAATTGCTGAGCCGCAATCTATTGCAAAATCCATAAATGTTCGTCCATGCTGTCACCAGGGTGGAGGGATTTTTAAAAATGCAATGCTTTGATGTATTGACGGGGCTATCCGGACAGGTTTAAGGCAGCTATGAAACGTGTCTTGCATCTGTTTCCCTTCGAAATCCCTAAAGATCAGGGACAATATTGACCGGCAATTATATCCTACAATTACACCGCTGAAGATGCCATTTGACGCTGGGAAACGAGTGGTTTAGCAACACCAGGCGGCTCTATGATGCTAAAATAACCATGCAACACCCGGTTAGGAACCCAGGTAATGGCTTAGCAACCCCGCGCCGCACTGGATCCACATTCAAAGCTGAGTCCCTTAAAGTTGAATCCTAGCAGCCTTTCTGCGATTGACCCTCTTAAAGTTTCTAGTCTGCAAAACGGAATTCCTTTAAAGTCTCCTTTTCTGAGCTCCCCTCCCCGGAGGGGATGGTGGCAAGGAGGAATAACGAGGCAAGATGCTCAATTGTTCAAACAAAATTTAAAAACCTATAAACCATTTTTTCCCCCCAGCGTTCCCAAGAAAAAAACCCCCCACGTCTCCCAACCCGCCACTGGCCAAGCAAGCATCTGATTTCCATACAGAGAGAAAAAAAAAAAAACAATATTAAAGAAGTCAGACATACACATTTCCTTTCCCAACAAAAGTGGCCTCGAAAGTCCCTGGCCAAGGACACAGAGGAAGCAGAAAAGCAACCTACAAGCTCGCACTTTTCAGTCCAGGGCGCGTGTGTACCGCGGGGAGAAGGCGCAAAGGGTGACAAGACTCACCGGGGAGAAGGTGAACGCCGAGAAGTGGGGAGCCGGCGGCAGGACGGGGTGGGGGCCCACGGGCCAAAGAGCCCAAGATGCGGGGCGAGGAGAGGGCGGGGAAGGGGCGTCCGAGGCTCCCGGGGAGGAGGAGAGGTCCCAGGCGCTGCC